ATATGAATTAACAAGGGTTCTATTAAAAAACATGCAGATCATAGGTGCCACTTCCAAATCAGGAAGGTCCTGTATATAGGATCACCCTTTTAGAAAAGGATCGGTTATAAAAATAAATTTTCTTTTGTATTTTGAATGTTACACTTATTATTTGCAAGTTTAAATATATATACATACAATTTTAAGCATTATAAAACATTAATAATATAAGATAAAAAATTTTTTTTGTACAAAAAGGTATGAAGATCTTAAAAAACACTTTTAACTTTTTTAAGTATATAGAACAAATAAATCGATTATACTATATTTAACAAGATACCTTGATGTGTGACTTGAATGATTCATAATGTTTGAACAACCTAGTATTGTGCTTTGGAGTTGGTAGAGTTCATAAACTTTACTTTTGTCCCCGATTCATTTTTTCATAATTTCTCTTTATGACGAACATTTTAGTAAACACACTCTATGACGAACATCTTAGTAAACACTCTATGATGAACATCTTAGTAAACACTCTCTATGACAAACATCTTAGTAAACACTCTCTATGACAAACATCTTAGTAAACATCCTCTATGACGAACATCTTAGTAAACACTCTCTATGATGAACATCTTAGTAAACATTCTCTATGACAAACATCTTAGTAAACACTCTCTATGACAAACATCTTAGTAAACATTCTCTATCTATAACAAACAAATTACATATAGAGATGGAGGGTTGCTTGTATGGAGAATGAACTGTATATATACCATTAATATAAAAAATTTTTTTTGTCAAAAGATTGTTGATTTATTTATTTAAAATATATATCCTCTTCATGTATAAAATTAATTTTACATTATGACCAACCTTTAATGTTAAAGTATGCACATGAAGTGTATGTTTGTAGTAGTGAGCCACCTATTATTTGTTGTCCAGTAAGATACTTTATATATAATTTATTTTTTTTTTTATTTTTTTTTGAGGATTCTGCCATCTTTAACATAAAAAAAATTTTTAACTTTTAATAACATATGTATATATTACTTATATTATTTATATTACTCTTTACCCATTCATTATTCACTACTGTTTATTATAATTGTTTAATTTCATTATCACTTGTAGAATTTTAATTGCAAGTGACTACAGAAAGTAAAATATCATTAATATTAATTTATTTAATATAGTGTCTAAAAGTCATTTTTGCTACAAATTTGACAAAATTCAAAAAACATAAAGGTAATTGCCTTGTGAACTCAACTTTGGTGGATCGGCTGCTTAAAAACACTTGTGTATAAGATTTTATATGTAAAGTTGATTTTTTACTATGAAATGCGCATCATTTTTAATTTTTAAGGCGTGACAGTTTTGGATTCACAAAATCTATACGTGTAACATTGAGTTGACCCCCATTTATTTATTTGCCCCTAGGTAATATCAGAATACCTCAAGAGGTCATCAAAGATGGTAATTCACGAGAATCATAATACCGAAAATATATTCTGGAAATACCTGTGTACACATTTCTTTAAAATCAGCTGGTCAATTTTTGATGACAATATACATATATTGATTAAAATTTTATTATTAGTCAATTGAATGTTTATACAGCAGTAGTGTAAAATAGTAAATTATAAATCACGGGAAACGAACATATAAATCGGAAATGATTTACGAAGTTACTATTACACGCAAATAAAATCGGAAAAACTGATC